CTGCTGGGTGGGAGCGGGAATGAGGGAGTATGTGGTTGGCCAGTGCAGTGGGGCTTGGGGGGCTACTTCCACGGGGAAGAGAGAGTGTGAATGGCAGGGGGGAACAGTACCAGTGTTGCAGATTAGTTTGAAGGAGAACAGAAGGGGCCAGAGCCTGTCCAAAATCGGACAAGAGGTGGAACAGATTCATTGGTCTGGCTTACATTGTTGTTTGTAAACATTAATTTATGGCTTGGGATCAGAGGGTTGCTCCCAGTTTGGCCCGGATTGGACGAACTAGTAGTAGCATTGGTGTGAGGCTCCGCCCACCCACCCAGATGCTTCTGCGCATACGCAGAAGCATTGCAGAAGCTCATGCATGAGAGAACAGGTAGTAAGAAAATTAAAAACCTACCACTGCTTGGGATGTTACTGAATCCTGCAACTGTGGCTTATTCAAAAACCACAGCTTATTTCAATGACTAAATCCATTCTCGAAGGCAATCATTCAAACTGTTTTGTTAGAAAACAGTTTATAACAACGCCAGAAATAATGATCATAGATAGGAACGTAAGTGAGCACAAGACAGAAATACTTTGTAGGTGGAGAATTGTGTTAGTCTAAGGTGGCAAAACATCAGAAAGTGTCTGGTATCATCTTTTCTAACAAGCCAACTTTATTAAAGGATATACATTTTCTTTCTAATGTTAATTGAAAGGGTACAAGAAAATGGAAGCACTATGCCTGGGAAATCTCAGAAATATGTCAACAAACTTACTAGCAATTCCCCCCACCCTTTCTACTTAATCTATTGCTTTGTCCTACATGAAGGCAGAAGCCCAATTTTCCAAAACTCTGTCTGAGTCTTAAATCTGCCATTCAGCAAGCTATTTGGAGCTTTCTTGGGAATAAACAATTTTGGAGTAGCTTTCCTAGCAGCTGGCTTCCAGTAGCAGCCGGAATTATTTTGAGAAAGGGTGGGAGAGAAGGAAAGCAACTTAATCTGGGTTTTGTTTCAAGGGCAAATGGGTGAGTATTTTAGGCAGGTTAGAGCCTGCCTTTTCCCCGCATGATCAATCCTTGACCCTGTTGGGTAATTGTAACCTATTTCTAAGATTTTGTAATTGATTTGCAGACCAACAAATATTTGGTTTTCTGTCTGAGCTTCTGATTTATATTTTACCAAAGTCATTGCGAGAGTGACTGCCTAATCTTGTGCATTCCTCCTAATGTGCTCTAGTCTTTGATCATGGGGAGACATCTGCTATTTTATATTCTTCTGGCAACAATTTCTGTGGTTGGATCCTATGATTTTTTAATAAATAATATCAGGAACATCAAGGTAAGTGCAGAGAAAAGCAGATACGTATTTATTCACTCATTTATTTGTTTATTAGATTTACATCCCACCAGCATCAAATTGCTCTCAGTGACTTATTGATATTAAAACCACATGAGTTATGCATGCATTGTTTTGATGTTGAATTGCTAGCAAAAGTCTCTAGTGGCAACTTCTTCCAGTTTTAAGTGTATATTTTTATTCCTTCTGACACAC